TTACCAAATGGTTTGCTCGCGGATTTCCTCTGATTTCGATGTGCCCTGTGTGTGTTGAATTCACCGAGTCTTCTTTCATTAGTATGTGTGTACAAAATTTAACCTGTCTCTTTCTGGTTCTTATCAAGAATTATTATTATTGTTATCTTTTTTTGTCTTTTGTTTTTTGTTTTTTTGTTTTTTGCGTGTTTTTTTTTTTCGTTTGTTTTCTAGTTTATATTTCCCATAGGACTTCCTCATTAGTCACATACTTTACCGATGGTATTCTCAAGAGAGCAGGACAACTCCGGCGCTTAAAATGTTTGTTTTGTTGTTGTTTTTGTTTTTTTTTTATTATTATTTATTTATTTTTTTCATTTCCGAAGAAATTGTCCACCTTCCATAGCCAGACAGAAAAGAAGTTATCGCATATCAAACCCGCACTTTTCATTGTTTCTACAAGTATTTCTGATTCCTCGAAACGTTATCTCTTCGGAAACTCCATACAGCTTCACATTTTCCAGTCGTCAGCAATCCTTTCTATTTTATGAACACCTTTTCCAAAATCATTACCACCCGTTTCTCTATCCTTTTAAACACATTTTAAATTAGTTACCCGGTGATTTTCTCGACCTTTCCTGTCTTCCATATGGCCTACGATTGCTGAATTCCGTAAATCTCTTTTCCTGCTTCCTGGGGTGAAATTCCTCAGCTGCCTATCTGATTGTTATCAACAATTTCTTTGGGCTTCTGATTCTCGTTTTGTGCAGATTTTTGTTGCGATGTTCTCTTTATTCTTCAAGAAAATTCCTCGGCTTTCTCTGCCATATAAAATGGATAGAAGACCAGCATTTGTTTCTTCATTTCTATGAGGTTTATTCAGAAGTAATTTCCGTAATAAATTATACATAATTTTATGACTATAATTCAATCAATCAATCTATGTCGCTTTACATATCTATCAAGATAGATAGATGAATAGATAGATAGATAGATAGATAGATAGATATAGATCTGAACGAGGCTGAGATAGATAGCTCTGAACAAGTTGAGATATATATAGAGATCGATACATATGAACCAGTGCGGGATATATATATATATATATATATATATATATATATATATATATATATATATATATATATATATATACTAACGTTGCCCAACGTTGCCCGTGTTTGATTCAAAAGTTGTACGACTCATACAGCAATCGCTATCACTTGACTTAAAATATTTTCGCCCTTCCTTGCCTTTAAAGGAGTGCTCTTTGCCGTGCTGATGTTGCTACATGCCTTACTTCTTGCCTATCTCACACTGCGAATTTTTTCTAAGCTCTATACTAAACATTAAATCTGTTACGAAAACAGAACTAAACAAAATGAACACAAAACGATCAGCTTTAAAAAAGGAGTCGTAATTGGAAAAACCGAATGAAAAAAGAATGTTAACAACAAATAATTTTTCACACCAAACCCAGTTCTGCAGAATCAGAATCAATGTTGAGTTTAAGCAAGCGAATGAGCCAATTGGAGTAATGTGCCATGCAGATTTAAATTTTTCCCACTAGTGACGAATGCAGCCATAGATTTATTTTTTGCATGCTAGCATGCTAGTTAACATTCGTGTCAGTCAGCTGTTGGCTCTCACTCTGGCCAGTACAAAATGGCCGCAAACTACATGAAAACTGCCGTGGAAACATGAAAAAAGCGATTATTTCCACTATCGATGGGACTTGGGAAATGCAAAGTCGGTCTTGGCCTTCCCGCTAACGTAAAGCATGTGCATGTAAATTTTGGTGCGAATCCGTCGAAAATTGCGGCCGTGCATTCGTAGATGCGGCACAATTTTAATGATAGATAGAAAAAATAGATTTGAACCATAAAACGGCTAAGGAGACTCCGCCCTTCGTACACAGAGAAGAGAGTTGAACAAACACAGAAATATGGATATGAACCATGTATGGATTGACATATATATATATATATATATATATATATATATATATATATATAAGTATATATATATATATATATATATATATATATATATATATATATATATAGAGAGAGAGAGAGAGAGATCTGAGCCAGGCCGAGATACATACAGACAGATAGATGCATATGAACCAGGCCTAAATAGATAGATAAATAGATAGACAGATCAAATTAAATAATTCCCGTTTGTTATCAATTTGATATATATATATATATATATATATATATATTACTTAAAATGTTATCATAGTGGATACTTCATATTTGAAAAGGATGCCCCATTTTTATTTATTAAAAAGTGTGTATAACATATAGCAGTCTCTATATTTCAGCAATCTTAGTAAAAAAAAAATACGCTCACAGGTTAGGATCGAACATGCGCCGCCTTTTTAGAGAAAACCAGTGTTTGAGCCAATGTATTGAATTTGACTTTCTTGCGTTTTCTTTAAAGAACCACATCCTCTTCACCCAGAAAAGCTCACATCTGCCTCAGTTTCGTATCTGAAACCTAAACAAAGCAATTTCTAAAGAATTAATGGAGTTTTAAGACGACATTTTTATTGGTTCAGAAGTTATTATACTGGATGCTGCGCATTCGAAATAAACGCACCATATATCTATCTATATATCTATATATCTATATATATATATATTTAAATAAAAAGAAAGAATAGTAAGATATATAATCCAGTGTTCTTATAGATATTTTTATTTTTACAAAATAGTGGTCAATGTAAATTTACAGAGCATTAATATTATAAATTAATTGATTTAAAATATGGTTTTTTCCGCTACACAGTTCTAACCATAAACCATATTTTAAATCAATTAATTTAATATATATATATATATATATATATTAAATTAATTCTAGTTGGAATTTTCGACGTGTTATTTTATTTTTTTTTAATTTTTAATTCTTATATTTCTCTTTTTTCTCCTCCCCGCTTTTATCCTTCTATTGTTTTCTTACCAACTTCACTTTCACTGGTTTTATTATTATTATTATTATTATTATTATTATTATTATTTCTTTTCTTTTTTCTTTTCCTTTTATGGAAACCCTTTTATGTTTTTTTTCCTTTTCCTTTTTCTTTTATAGTGTTTCTCCTTATGGTTTTTTTTTCTGAAAACAATTTGAATAATGTGAAAAAGAAAGTGATGTTCCATAGGCGGCATTTTTAAATAGAATCGTCCATAACCATCTTTGTTCCTGACATGTGGAGATGCCTACGCATCGAAACAAAAATGCATCTTTGTCGTGAGTAATTGTTTTCTCCGTATGTAACAATTTATGATAAATAATAAATACCTATTGCCCAACACTTGGTAATGTATCCTCTTTTGAATTAACGCTGTGAACGTTTGAATTTATATTCTTTTCATTCTCATTACTTTTATATATATATATATATATATATATATATATATATATATATATAAATGGAACGGTATAATATTTATGCATTACATAAATTCGGTAAAATTTCATTGTTAATCATGTATTCCTTTAAAATTTGTTGTTTCCGTTCTTTTAGTAATGCATGATTATATATATATTTTATATATATATATATATATATATATATATATATATATATGGGTGTAACACTTTGTATAATATTTAAAATGCATTACACCATAATTTTTATTCAGGTTAAAATCGTAAAAAATTTCATTGATTTCAATCAACATTCATAATTTTGCATTACTTTTTTAAAACCATCAAGAGAACGGTGAATAAATCGGACAGTAGAGGAAAACGGATATTTATCATATTTGTTGACCTTAGATCAATTAGTTCTTTCCATAATATTATATCAATTGAAAAAGACTTGTTTTTAACGATTTGGACAATTTTAGAGAGGCGAAGATCATTAAGTTAGAAAATGATTCTGGAATATATATATATATATATATATATATATATATATATATATATATTCCATATATATAAATCTGGGTATATATATATATATATATATATATAAATATATATATATATTGAATTTTATTTCACTCCTTCAAAACTTTCGATCCTTAATTAATTAATTAATTGAACATGCCATTTTCGTTTTGATTGAATCACGATTTTTCTGTTAGCTTCGAGAATATTATATAAACTGTAGATCAATAAAAATATCTAGAATTTCAAGATACCTTTATTCAAGGTTTTTTTTAAATATTTATATATATTATATATATATTTATTCTATATATATATATATATATATATATATATGGAAAAGTCGCCTTTAGAGTTAATATAAAAGTGAAAGAGAACTTACAATCTGTTTCCTCAGATGCTATCGATCTTTTATGTCGATTAGATTAGATTCAGGAGTATGCGATGAAAAAAATTATACTTTTTTATCCTCAAGATCTTTTATGTCGTTAACATTCGAAAAAATTTTTTTTACGCCTTTTATTTAATTTCATGGACGAGGGGACCAAAACCTTTCTACAGGAAATTGTAGCGTCTTTTTTTGCGGTGAAAAACACATTGATTTTCAAATTCTTACAAAGATCAAATAATTGTCGGATTTTAACGACATTTCTGGCCTTATTCGGAAACGAACGAAATTGATTTCTTTTTTATATATATTATGACGATAAAACCTACTTTTTTATTTTTATAAAATTGTTTATGTAAAAATTGTTAAATTTGAAGAGGTACCTAGTTTTTATACAAAGAATATTTTATTGAAATTTTAACTCTAGGTACAAAAATAAATGCTGGCTAGTATCGGAAAAAGCAAAAATAGGAGAAAAAAAAACACTTACAACCTGTAGGTTATTTAATGCCGAAATATCTTTATATACAGTTTTTTTTCTTTGCGATAATAATGGTTTAATGATCCAAGTCTTACTAATTAACCCATAACTGGGGGGCTGAGAGAAAAAGAAGCGAATTCATACCTTTCCCAAGAGTATTTGTGCATCCGTGAATATAACGAACCCGACTGGAATTGGAACTCGGCCTTCCAATTAAAAATTCTGAGTTATTATTCGTGACGAAACTTATAACTCCTGTTATTCCCAAACGGTCACCCATCTAGGTACTGATGAGGCTCGATGTTGCTTAACTTCGGTGATCGTATGGTAACCGGTGTTTCAAACTTGATGCTGACGAAGGCGCGTTGGAGTAATGGATAGTGGCTTGGATTGAGGAATCCGAGAACCGAGTTCGAATTCCAGTTGAGTTCATTGCATTCACTTACGTGATAAGACCTTTGTGAAATGTATGACTGCAATACTTCTCCCTCCAGTTATGGGTATATAGTAGGACTGACTGGGTTCTATAGCCTTGGGTCTAGGATTGGTCTCGGAGAATGAAATCTCGGAATTCAAAACTCTGGCGAAGCACATAATATGCAGCTAAGGAAAGAATCGTTAGCATTTACTCGATGATCCCGACTACGGTCTACTCCCTTTTTTAAGACATGTGCTCGGAAACTAGTAACCAATTAGTATATTCACAAGGATATAATTCGCCCTTGCATGGAGTATTGGTGCCGCTTCTGTTTACCTCGGGGTTCTTGATAGGCTCCAGAGGCGGATATATCGTATGTCCATGGTTGGCCCTGCCCTGCCCTGGCGTCTCGTCTACAGTCACTTTCTCGCAGACGCGCCGTCGCCTCCCTCTGTCTGTTCTACAAATACTTTCATGGAAATTGCTCCGAGGAGCTGCATTCGCTGGTTCCCAGACGTCATGAGTTCCAGCGCCTTACGAGGCTGGCATCCCGCTCACACCCCTTCACTGTCGAAACTCCTAAATGTAGCCGTCTCTTCTACTCTAATAGCTTCATATTTCGCACCTCTCGCCTGTGGAACTTCCTTCCCTATTCCTGTTTCCCTGTGAGCTATAATCTCCAGCTATTCAAGTGTAATGTCAATCGACATCTCCAGTTGCCTTGATCTATCCACTACCCTCATCCTTTCTTCTATCACTCCTATCTGATCTTGCTATTTTCTGTAACCCCATGCGTCCTAGTGGCTTCCCGCCATTCTTGGGATGAAACGCTTAAAAAAAAAAAATATATATATATATATATATATATATATATAATATATATATATATAATCTTATAAGTATGAGAAATTATACTCGTCCGAAAAACCTTCGTTGTCTTGATTTGCAAATAATCTAATCAATACCAAAGGGAAAAAAGGTATAAAAAAAAAGAAAGAAAAAAAACAAAAAAAGAACAAAGACCGCCAGCCAAAAATAATCGTCTAGCATGCAAACCCAAAGTCCAAAAAAAAAAACCGATACGAGTAAGCAAAATAACTAAATAAAGTGCTCAATACATTAAGTAAGCAGACCTAATTATCCTAAGGAAGGATATATATATATATATATATATATATATATATATATATATATATATATATACGTTGTGCAAATTAATTGAAACAAAACGAATAATTCCGTTATTATTTAATATTTTCATATTTTTCCAATGAAACATGACCCAGTGCACATGTTAGTACTTCGTATGTCCATTCCACGAAGTCGTTCCTTGCAGATTGACCACAGATTCTCGATTGGATTTAAATCAGGAGAGTTTCCGGTACAATCTATAGTACTTTGATTTGCTCACTGGTAAGGTTTGCCAGTGTGTTTTCAATTTTCATACGCTTCCTTCGAGTAACGTTCATCGCAGACAATGGCCGTAGGACAACTAATCGACAGTCGAGACAATAGTGTCTGAGCGTGATAAAAAAAAAATTGATGCAATCACGGATGATGCAATATTTTTTCAAGGTCAAACAAATTTTAACATACACCCCGAAAACAGATTCATATTATTGCACACCGCTGCAAATAACCTAATCTGAAGAAAAACTAGAAATCGATTACACCCTGTCACTCCAGTGGGTTTAAAACTGGCCGTATGGTGAAAGAATGGAAATTAACGCGGTTGATTCAATTAAGGGTGTAGTTTTCAGGGCGTATTCACAAATGAATGAAACTATTTTAGAAAAGTTTCTTTTTTTTAGAAAATCTTGGTTAAAACATTTTTTTTTATATCTGGTATACCCTTAACTATTTATTTCTATGAAATTTTGAGAAATTATTTTTTGTACTTCTGGATATTTATATTAATTATCCACAGAACTCCTTGAGAAATTTAAATCATGATTTTTTGTAAAACAGGAACTCCCCCACCCCCCGTTAGTGAAAATCTGTCTTGATTCGTAAAATAAAAAATGCAATAAAAGTAAAACATTATTCAGTTAGAAAAGCTTTTAATTGATTTTATGAATTAAATATATTATGTATACTATTGCCTAACAATTTTAATGGCGAAATCTAAATGAAAATTTATTTAAATGAAAATTAAATAAAATTTAAATAAATGAATTCATTTAAATTATTTAAAAAATAATTAATTTCAATGAATTTTATACGAAGCATTTTAATATAATCTTACTTATTATAAAACGCAGATTGTGTATGTGTGTGTGTGTCTGTACTTTTATATATTGGATTGGATTTCCTACATTTTTCAACCGATTTCAACAAAACTTCACAGGACTACGTAAAATTACCTTGCGGTGGTTCTGACAGCGCCAAAAATTGGAAAAAAAACAATTGTTTTTGCACGAAATCAATTTGAAAACACGATTAAGAGGCATTAATGAAAGGGAGACAACTCATATCGAGTTATACTTATTAATATCGAGTTATAGTTATTATAAAACCCAGGTTGGTTGTTTGTGTGTGTGTGTTCGCTTATATATGGGATAGGATTTCCTACATTTTTCAACTGATTTCAACAAAACTTCACTTTTTTTTTTTTGGCAAGTCGTGTTTCTTATTGTCTTGCACACTTTTTTCTTTATTTTTACATTCAGAATGCTTTAAAAATTCCATTTACAAGACAATTGTTTATAATAAAATTCTATTCAATTGGTAGATTCATAACGATTGAAAACAATGTTTTTGTTTGAGTTTGGGTTTGACCAATTCGTAAAAAAAAAACTAATTAAGACATGCGTGTCCGTCAACCTTAAACAATAATCTTTGTCAATTTTATTTTTCAGTCTTTATGATGGTCGATACTTGATCTATCTCTTACTGTTACATCCCCGGGCAACGCGGGCTCTACTGCTAGTTGTATAATATAATTTATAATTGTTTTAAATATAATTTTATAAACTTTTATACGAAGCATTTTAATATAATTGTATAATATAATTTATAATTTTTTTAGATATAATTTTATTAACTTTTATACGAAGCATTTTAATATAATTGTATAATATAATTTATAATTTTTTTAAATATAATTTTATAAACGTTTATATGAAGCATTTTAATATAATTGTATAATATAATTTATAATTTTTTTAATATAATTTTATAAACTTTTATGCGGAGCAGTTTATAATAAAATTTTGCAAATTTAATAATAAAAAATTTATTAAACTTATTAATTTATTAAATAGATAATTTTATTAAACAAATAATTTATTCAAATTTATTTCACTCATTTAAATAAATTAATTTAATAAAACTAAATTAAAATTAAAACTAAATATATTATGTACGTTATTGTCTTAAATTCTTTTCGACGATTAATTAATTTGTGCAAAAATTGTTTTCATTTTTTTTATTATAATTAATTTATATAAAGTTTAAAATATTTCAAATTTCTGTATTTATTTGTACCAGTTAGGTGATATTGTTATTAATTTAAAACTATATTTACTGATCATAAATGGAAATGCTTACTACAATTCAGTGGACCCTAATATCCTAATATTTTAAAAAGAATTTTGAATTTTGTTTTTTTTTTTTTGGGTGTGTGTGTGTGTGTGTGTGTGTGTGTGTGTGTGTGTGTGTGTGTGTGTGTGTGTGTGTGTGTGTGTGTGAAATATTTTTGTAAATACGGACAACCATACACGACATTATTATAAAATAAGAGCGATAACTATAGTAAATTTAATATCAACGTACCAAAAATTCAATACAACATTAGATTACAGGGAATATTTTTAAAGATCACAAGGTGGTTAAAAATTATTAAAAAAAAAAAAAAAGGCGCTCATTTTATATTCCTCGTGTAATTTTTGCAGATATGTTTCCCGTAGACAAAAATTATATAAACTTCTGACTGTCAGTCAAGCTGTCAAACTGTCAACACTTTAAATAAACAGCTACCTCCGTGTTAAAAGTGCATTTCTGCACTATTTTAAACTAAAATATAAATATGTATTTTAAACTAAAGTAATTTTCATTTCAAATCAGTTTAATTAAATTTTAATATTCCGGAAATAAAGATTCAGAAAAGTATATTTTTATTTTTGAAAGTATATATTACAATCTATTCATATCGACCTATCTCTATCAGTCTGTTCCTATCTATTCATCTATCTATCTATTCACACGTGCTAAAATGATTTTTCTCATTTCTTTCTTTCTCTTTCTATTCTGTGTGCTTTGTCTATCAATCTAATCATTCTTTGTCTGTCTATATTAATTCTTGTCTGTTCATTTTCTATTTATCTCAGCCTATTCGTATCTACCTATCTATCGATCGATACATCGATCGAATAGCCTCTTCATATCTATCTGGTGTATACATATCTATCTATCAATCTATCTATCTGTCTGTAGGTCTACCTTTTCTGTTCATATCTATTATTCTATCTCAGTCTGTTCATATCTATCTTTTTTGTCCATATTTATCTAACACTTAGTCATATCTATCTTTCTGTCTATTTTTCATTTCAGATCTATCTATCTATCTATCTATCTTATAGACCCTTAATATCTATCTATCTATCTATCTAGTATGTACATATCTATCTATCTGTCTATCTATCTGTCCGTCGATCTATCTTTTCTGTTCATATCTATTTCAGTTTGTTCATATCTATCTATCTCTATCTATCTATCTCATTCTTTTTCATTTCATTTTCTTTTTTCTTCCTTCTTTTTCTTTCTTGGTTTGTTTCTTTCTAACATATTATTCTTTCTTTCTATCTATCAAATCCTTTCTGTCTTTCTTTCTATCGTATTCTTTCTTTCTATCTGCCATATTCTTTCTTTCTGTCTATCATTTCTTTCTTTCTTTCTATCAACCATATTCTTTCTTTCTGTCTATCATTTCTTTCTTTCTATCTATCTACCATATTCTTTCTTTCTGTCTATCATTTCTTTCTTTCTTTCTATCTACCATATTCTTTCTTTCTGTCTATCATTTCTTTCTTTCTTTCTATCTACCATATTCTTTCTTTCTGTCTATCATTTCTTTCTTTCTTTCTATCTACCATATTCTTTCTTTCTGTCTATCATTTCTTTCTTTCTTTCTATCTACCATATTCTTTCTTTCTGTCTATCATTTTCTTTCTTTCTTTCTATCTACCATATTCTTTCTTTCTGTCTATCATTTCTTTCTTTCTTTCTATCTACCATATTCTTTCTTTCTTCTGTCTACTATCATTTCTTTTCTTTCTTTCTATCTACCATATTCTTTCTTTCTGTCTATCATTTCTTTCTTTCTATCTATCTTTCTTTATTCTTTCTTTCTGTCTATCATTTCTTTCTTTCTCTTTTCCATATTCTTTCTTTCTCTATCCTTTCTTTCTATCTGTCTTTCCATATTCTTTCTTTCTGTCTATCATTTCTTTCTTTCTTTCTATCTACCATATTCTTTCTTTCTGTCTATTCTCATTTCTTTCTTTCTTTCTATCTACCATATTCTTTCTTTCTGTCTATCATTTCTTTCTTTCTTTCTATCTACCATATTCTTTCTTTCTGTCTATCATTTCTTTCTTTTTCTATCTACCATTCTTCTACCATATCTTTCCTTCTGTCTTTCTATTTTTCTTTTTCTATCAGCTTTCCATCTTCTTTCTTTCTGTCTTTCTGTTTCTTTCTATCTATCTACCATATTCTTTCTTTCTGTCTATCATTTCTTTTTTCTTTCTTTCTTCTCTTCTATCTACCATATTCTTTCTTTCTTTCCTTCTGTCTATCATTTTTCTTTCTTTTTCTTTCTGTCTATCATTTCTTTCTTTCTATCTTTCTATTTTCCTTTCTTTCTGTCTATCATTTTTTTCTTTCTTTCTTTCTATCTACCATATTCTTTCTTTCTGTCTATCATTTCTTTCCTTTTTTCTATCTACCATATTCTTTCTTTCTGTCTTTCATTTCTTTCTTTCTTTCTATCTACCATATTCTTTCTTTCTGTCTATCATTTCTTTTCTTTTCTATCACCTTTCTATCTACCATCATTCTTTCTTTCTTCTATCATTTCTTTCTTTCTATCTTCTTTATTCTTTCTTTTTTCTTCTCATTCCATTCTTTCTTTCTGTCTACCATTCTTCCTCTTTCTATCATTTCTTCTATCTTTCCTTTCTTTCTTTCTGTCTATCATTCTTCTTTCTATCTGTCTTTCCTTTATCTTTCTTCTTTCTTTCTATCTACCATATTCTTTCTTTCTATCTATCATTCTTTCTTTTCTTTCTATCTACCATTCTTCCTTTTCTTTCTTTCTATCTTTCATTTCTTTCTTTCTTTCTATCTACCATATTCTTTCTTTCTGTCTATCATTTCTTTCTTTCTTTCTTTCTACCATCTTCTTTATCATTACTTTCTTTCCTTCTGTCTTTTTTCTTTTCTGTTTCTATTCTTTCTTTCCATATTTCTTTTCTGTCTATTCTTTCTTTCTCTTTCTGTTTCTTTCTTTCTTTCTTTCTATCATATTCTTTCTTTCTTCTTTCTTCTTTCTTTCTGTCTATCATTCTATTCTTTCTTTCCTTCTGTCTTTCCTTCTTTCTTTCTGTCTATTATTCTTTCTCTTTCTTTCTTTCCTTCTTCTTTCTACCTCTTTTCCTTTTCTTTCTTTCTTTCTCTCATTCTTTCTTTTTCTTTCTTTCTTTCTTCTGTCTTTTCTATCTTCATCTTTCTTTCTTTCTTTCTTTCTTTCTTCTGTCTTTCCATCTTCTTCTCCTTTCTGTCTTTCATTTCTTTCTTCTATCTTTCCTATCTTTCTTTCTTCTCTGTCATTTCTTTCTTTCTTTCTATCTACCTTTCTTCATTTCTTTCTTTCTGTCTACCATTCTTCCTTCTTTCTATCATATCCTTTTCTTTCTTTCTTTCTATCTTCCTCCTTTCTTCTGTCTTTCTTTTTTTTCTTTCTTTCTCTCTCATTTCTTTCTATCTTTCCTTCTGTCTTTTCTGTCTTTCTTTCTTTCTGTCTATCTTTTTTCTTTCTTTCTATCAGTCTTTCCTTCTTTCTTTTGTCTATCATTTCTTTCTTTTCTATCTATCTTTCCTTTCTTTCTTTCTGTCTTTCTTTCTTTTTCTTTCTTTTTCTTTCTTTCTCTACCATTCTTCTTTCTATCATTTTCTTTTTCCTTCTATCTGTCTATCATTTCTTTCTTTCTTTCTCATCATCTTTCTTTGTCTTTTCATTTCTTTCTTTCTTTCTATCTTTCATTTCTTTCTTTCTGTCTATCATTTCTTTCTTTCTTTCTATCAGCCTTTCCTTCTGTCTTTCTTCTTTCTTTTTCTATCTATCTATATTCTTTCTTTCTTTTTCTTGTCTTTCCTTCTGTCTACCATGTCTATCATTCTTTCTTTCTGTCTATCATTTCCTTCTTTTCTTTCTGTCTATTTCTTCTTTCTTTCTATCATTTCTTTCTTTTTCTCTTTCCTTCTGTCTTTCTGTCTTCATTTCTTTCCTTTCTATCTACCATATTTTTCTTTCTTTCTGTCTATCATTTCTTTTTTTCTTTCTATCTACCATATTCTTTCTTTCTGTCTTTCATTTCTTTCTTTCTTTTCTATCATTTCTCTTTTCTGTCTTTCATTTCTTTCTTTCTTTCTACCTTTCCTTCACCTTTCTATCTTTCCTTCTGTTTTCCTTCTCTTTCTACCATATCTCCTTTCTTTCTATCCATATTTCCTTCTTTCTTTCTATCTATCATTCTCTTTCTTTCTTTCTTTCTTTCTATCTTTTCTTCTGTCTTTCTTTCTATCATTCTTTCCTTTCTATCAAATATCCTTCTGTTTTCCTTCTTCTTTTCTGTCTATCATTCTTCTTTTCTATCAGCCTTTCTTCTCTTTCTTCTGTCTTTCTGTCTATCATTCTCTTTTCTTTCTGTCTGTCTTTCCTTCTTTTCTTTCATTTTCCTGTCTATCAGCCTTTCTTTCTTTCTGTCTATCATTCTTCTTTCTTTTCTATCTATCTTTCCTTTTTTTCCTTTATTTCTGTCTATCATTTCTTTCTTTCTATCAGCCTTTCCTTATTCTTTCTTTGTTTTCTGTCTATCATTTCTTTCTTTCTTTCTATCTTTCTTCCATTCTTCTTTCTTTCTGTCTATCATTTTTTTTTCTTTTCTATCTGCCTTTCCTTCATATTCTTTCTTTCTGTCTCTCATTCTTTCTTTCTTTCTATCAGCCTTTCTGTCTTTTCTTCTTTCCTGTCTATTCTTTCTTTCTGTCTATCATTTTCCTTTTCTTTCTTTCTTTCTTCTGTCTTTCTTCTGTCTTTCTGTCTATCATTCTTCCTATTCTATCTTTTCCTTCTGTCTTTCCTCTATCATTTCTCTATCATTCTTTCTTTTTCCTTCTGTCTTTCCTTCTGTCTTTCTTTATCTTCTTCCTCTATCTATCATTTTTCCTTCTGTCTTTCCTTCTGTCTTTCTGTTTCATTCTTCCTTTCTTTCTATCAGCCTTTCCTTCTGTCTTTCCTTCTTTCTTTCTGTCTATCATTCTTTGCCTTTTATCAGCCTTTCCTTCTGTCTCCTTCTGTCTTTCATTCTCTTTCTTTCCTTTCTATCATTTCTTCCTTCTGTCTTTCCTTCTGTCTTTCTTCTATCATTTTCTTTTCTTTCTGTTTCTATCTGTCATTCCTTCTGTTCTTTCTATCATTTCATTTCTTTCCTTCTCTTTCTTTCTGTCCTTTCTTTCATTTCTATCAGCCTTTCCTTCTGTCTTTCCTTCTTTCTTTCTGTTTCTTCTTTCTGCCTTTCTATCATTTCTTCTGTCTTTCTGTCTATCATTTCCTGCCTTTCTATCATCCTTTCCTTCTGTCTTTCCTTCTGTCTTTCTTTTTCCTGCCTTTCTATCAGCCTTTCTTCTTTTCTGTCTTTCTGTTTCTATCATTCTTCTTTTCTTTCTTTCTTCTATCATTTCTTTCTGTCTATCATTTCCCCTGCCTTTCTATCTTCCTTCTGTCTTTCCTTCTGTCTTTCTGTCTATCATTCTCCTTTTCTCCTTCTGTCTTTCCTTCTGTCTTTCTGTCTATCATTTCTTTTCTTTCAGCCTTTCCTTCTGTCTTTCTGTCTTCTTTCTTTTGTTTCTATCATTCTCCCTTTCTTTCTTCTATCTTTCCCTTTTTCTATCTTTCCATATTCTTTCTTTCTGTCTATCATTCTTTCTTTCTTTCTATCAGCCTTTCTTTCTGTCTTTCCTTCTGTCTTTCTGTCTTCTTCTTTCTTTTTTCTTTCCTTTGTCTTTCTGTCTATCTATTCTTATATCTTTCCTTCTGTCTTTCCTTTCTTTCTTTCTTCTTTTCTTCCTGCCTTTCTATCTCCTTTCTGTCTTTATCTTTCTATCTTCTCCTTTCTTTCTATCATTTCCTTTCTTTCCTTCTTTTCTGTCTATCATTCTTCCTGCCTTTCTATCAGCCTTTCCTTCTGTCTTTCCTTCTGTCTTTCTGTCTATCATTCTTCCTGCCTTTCTATCAGCCTTTCCTTCTGTCTTTCTTCTGTCTTTCTGTTTTTATTCATTCTTTCTTTCCTTCTGTCTTTCCTTCTGTCTTTCTGTCTTTCTATCTTCCTGCCATTCTATCTTTCCTTCTGTCTTTCCTTCTGTCTTTCTTTCATTCTTCCTGCCTTTCTATCATCATTTCTTTCTTTCCTTCTGTCTTTCTGTTTCTATCATTCTTTCTGCTGTCTTTCTATCAGCCTTTCCTTCTGTCTTTCTTCTGTCTTTCTGTCTATCATTCTTCCTCCTTTCTATCAGCCTTTCCTTCTGTCTTTCTTTCTTCTTTCTGTTCTGTCTTTCTTCCTCTTTCTATCATTTCTTTTCCTTCTGTCTTTCTTTCTTTCTTTCTGCCTTCTATCATATTCTTCTCTTTCTGTCTTTCTTTCTGTCTATCATTTCTTTCTTTCTTTCTATCTATCTTTCTTTCTTTCTGTCTTTCTTTCCTTCTCTTTCTGTCTATCATTCTTTTCTTTTCTCCTTTCTGCCTTTCCTTCTGTCTTTCCTTTGTCTTTCTGTCTATCATTCTTTCCTTTTCCTTTCCTTCTGTCTCATTTCTGTCTTTCTTTCTTTCTATCAGCCTTTCTTCTCTCTTTCCTTCTGTCTTTCTTCCTTTCTTTCTGTCTTTCTATCAGCCTTTCCTTCTGTCTTTCCTTCTGTCTTTCTGTCTATCATTCTTCCTGCCTTTCTATCAGCCTTTCCTTTCTTTCCTTCTGTCTTTCTGTCTATCATTCTTCCTTTTCTATCAGCCTTTCCTTTCCTTCTGTCTTTCTGTCTTTCTGTCTTCTTTCTTTCTTTCTTTCCTTCTTTCTTTCTGTCTATCATTCTTTGCCTTTCTTCTTTTCTTTCTTTCTTTCTGTCTATCATTCTCATTTTTTTCTATCATCCTTTCCTTCTGTCTTTCCTTCTGTCTTTCTGTCTATCATTCTCCCTGCCTTTCTATCAGCCTTTCCTTCTGTCTTTCCTTCTGTCTTTCTGTCTATCATTCTTCCTGCCTTTCTATCAGCCTTTCCTTTCTTTCTTCTGTCTTTCTGTCTATCATTCTTCCCTTCTTTCTATCAGCCTTTCCTTCTGTCTTTCCTTCTGTCTTTCTGTCTTTCCTGCCTTTCTATCAGTCTTTCCTTCTGTCTTTCCTTCTGTCTTTCTGTTTCTTTTTCTCAGCCTTTCTGTCTGTCTTTCCTTCTTCTTTCTGTCTGCCTTTCTATCATTTCCTTCTGTCTTTCCTTCTGTCTTTCTGTCTATCATTCTCATTTCTTTTCCTTCTGTCTTTCCTTCTTTTCTGTCTATCATTCTTCCTTTTTCTATCAGCCTTTCCTTCTGTCTTTCCTTCTTTTTCTGTCTATTTCTTCCTCCTTTCTATCAGCCTTTCCTTCTGTCTTTCCTTCTGTCTTTCTGTCTATCATTCTTCCTGCCTTTCTTTCTTTCCTTCAGCCTTTCTTTCTTTCTGTCCATCCTTCTTTCTTTCTGTCTTTCATTTCTTCTTCCTGCTTTCTATCAGCCTTTCCTTCTGTCTTTCCTTCTGTCTTTCTGTCTATCATTCTTTTTTTCTTTCTATCAGCCTTTTTCTTGTCTTTCCCTTTCTTTCTTTCTGTCTTTCCTTCTGTCTTTCTGTCTATCATTCTTTCTTTCTTTCTATCATCTTTTCCTTCTGTCTTTCCTTCTGTCTTTCTGTCTATCATTCTTCCTGCCTTTCTATCAGCCTTTCCTTCTGTCTTTCCTTCTGTCTTTCTGTCTATCATTCTCGCTGCCTTTCTATCAGCCTTTCCTTCTGTCTTTCCTTCTGTCTTTCTGTCTATCATTCTTCCTGCCTTTCTATCAGCCTTTCCTTCTGTCTTTCTGTCTATCATTCTTCCTGCCTTTCTATCAGCCTTTCCTTCTGTCTTTCCTTCTGTCTTTCTGTCTATCATTCTTCCTGCCTTTCTATCAGCCTTTCCTTCTGTCTTTCCTTCTGTCTTTCCTTCTGTCTTTCTGTCTATCATTCTTCCTGCCTTTCTATCAGCCTTTCCTTCTGTCTTTCCTTCTGTCTTTCTGTCTATCATTCTTCCTGCCTTTCTATCAGCCTTTCCTTCTGTCTTTCCTTCTGTCTTTCCTTCTGTCTTTCCTTCTGTCTTTCTGTCTATCATTCTTCCTGCCTTTCTATCAGCCTTTCCTTCTGTCTTTCCTTCTGTCTTTCTTTCTATCATTCTTCCTGCCTTTCTATCAGCCTTTCCTTCTGTCTTTCCTTCTGTCTTTCTGTCTATCATTCTTCCTGCCTTTCTATCAGCCTTTCCTTCTGTCTTTCCTTCTGTCTTTCTGTCTATCATTCTTTTTCTTTCTTTCCTTCTGTCTTTCCTTCTTTTCTTTCTCTTTCTTCCTTTCTATCAGCCTTTCCTTCTGTCTTTCCTTCTGTCTTTCTGTCTATCATTCTTCCTGCCTTTCTATCAGCCTTTCCTTCTGTCTTTCCTTCTGTCTTTCTGTCTATCATTCTTTTTCTTTCTATCATCCTTTCCTTCTGTCTTTCTGTCTATCATTCTTCCTGCCTTTCTATCTATTTCTTTCTTTCTGTCTTTCTGTCTTCATTTCTTCCTTCCTTTCTATCAGCCTTTCCTTCTGTCTTTCCTTCTCTGTCATTCTTCCTGCCTTTCTATCATTTCTTTCCTTCTGTCTTTCTGTCTATCATTCTTCCTGCCTTTCTATCTTTCTTTCTTCTTTTCCTTCTTCTGTCTTTCTGTCTATCATTCTTCCTTTTCTTCAGCCTTTCTTCTGTCTTTCCTTCTGTCTTTCTGTCTATCATTCTTCCTGCCTTTCTATCATTTTTCCTTCTCTTTCCTTCTGTCTTTCTGTCTATCATTCTCCCTGCCTTTCTTCAGCCTTTCCTTCTGTCTTTCCTTCTGTCTTTCTGTCTATCTTTCTTTCTTTCTCTTTCCTTCTGTCTTTCTGTCTATCATTCTTCCTGCCTTTCTATCAGCCTTTCCTTCTGTCTTTCTTCTGTCTTTCTGTCTATCATTCTTCCTATCATTTCTTTCTTTCTTTCTCTATCATTCTTCCTTCCTTTCTATCAGCCTCTTCATCATTCTTTCTTTCTTTCCTTCTTTCTTCTTCTCCCTTTCTTTCTATCAGCCTTTCTTCTGTCTTTCCTTCTGTCTTTCTGTCTATCATTCTTCCTTCCTTTCTATCAGCCTTTCCTTCTGTCTTTCCTTCTGTCTTTCTATCATTCTTCCTGCCTTTCTATCAGCCTTTCCTTCTTCTTCTGTTTTCTGTCTATCATTCTTCCTGCCTTTCTATCAGCCTTTCCTTCTGTCTTTCCTTCTGTCTTTCTGTCTATCATTCTTACTGCCTTTCTATCTTTCCTTCTGTCTTTCCTTCTGTCTTTCTGTCTATCATTCTTCCTGCCTTTCTATCAGCCTTTCCTTCTGTCTTTCCTTCTGTCTTTCTGTCTTCTGTCTTCCTGCCTTTCTATCAGCCTTTCCTTCTCTTTCCTTCTGTCTTTCTGTCTTCATTCTTCCTGCCTTTCTTTCATTTCCTTCTGTCTTTCTGTCTATCATTCTTCTTTCTATCTTTCCTTCTGTCTTTCCTTCTGTCTTTCTGTCTATCATTCTTCCTGCCTTTCTATCAGCCTTTCCTTCTGTCTTTCCTTCTGTCTTTCTGTCTATCATTCTCCCTGCCTTTCTATCAGCCTTTCCTTCTGTCTTTCCTTCTGTCTTTCTGTCTATCATTCTTCCTGCCTTTCTATCATCCTTCTGTCTTTCCTTCTGTCTTTCTCTATCATTCTCCCTCCTTCAGCCTTTCCTTCTTCTTTCCTTCTGTCTTTCTGTCTATCATTCTCACTCCCTTTCTATCAGCCTTTCCTTCTGTCTTTCCTTCTGTCTTTCTGTCTATCATTCTCCCTGCCTTTCTATCAGCCTTTCTTCTGTCTTTCCTTCTGTCTATCTGTCCTTTCCTTTCTATCTTTCCTTCTGTCTTTCTGTTTCTTCTCTTTTCTATCAGCCTTTCCTTCTGTCTTTCCTTCTGTCTTTCTGTCTATCATTCTTCCTTTTCTTTCTTTCCTTCTGTCTTTCCTTCTTCTTTCTTTCTATCATTCTTCCTCTATCAGCCTTTCCTTCTGTCTTTCCTTCTGTCTTTCTGTCTATCATTCTTCCTTTTCTATCAGCCTTTCCTTCTGTCTTTCCTTCTGTCTTTCTGTCTATCATTCTTCCTCTTTTCTATCTTTCTATCAGCCTTTCTTCTCATTCTTTCCTTTCTGTCTTTCTTTTCTTTCCTTCTGTCATTTCTTTCTTTTTCTATCTTTCCTTCTGTCTTTCCTTCTGTCTTTCTGTCTATCATTCTTCCTTTCAGCCTTTCCTTCTGTCTTTCCTTCTGTCTTTCTGTCTATCATTCTTCCTGCCTTTCTATCAGCCTTTCCTTCTTCTTTCCTTCTGTCTTTTTCTTCCTGCCTTTCTATCAGCCTTTCCTTCTGTCTTTCCTTCTGTCTTTCTGTCTATCATTCTTCCTGCCTTTCTATCAGCCTTTCCTTCTGTCTTTCCTTCTGTCTTTTCTTTCTTTCTTTCTCTATCATTCCTTTCTTTCTTCTCTTTCTGTCTATCATTCTACCTTTTCTTCTTTCTTTCTGTCTATCATTCTTCTTTCCTTTCTATCAGCCTTTCCTTCATCTTTCTGTTTCTTTCTTGTCTCTATCATTCTTCCTGCCTTTCTATCAGCCTTTCCTTCTGTCTTTCCTTCTGTCTTTCTGTCTATCATTCTTCCTGTCTTTCTATCAGCCTTTCCTTCTGTCTTTCCTTCTGTCTTTCTGTCTATCATTCTTCCTGCCTTTCTATCAGCCTTTCCTTCTGTCTTTCCTTCTGTCTTTCTGTCTATCATTCTTCTATCTGCCTTTCTATCTTTCCTTCTCCTTTGTCTTCTTTCTTCTGTCTTTCATTTTCTGTCTATCATTCTCCCTGCCTTTCTATCAGCCTTTCCTTCTGTCTTTCCTTCTGTCTTTCTGTCTATCATTCTTCCTGCCTTTCTATCAGCCTTTCCTTCTGTCTTTCCTTCTGTCTTTCTGTCTTTCTTCCTCCTTTCTATCAGCCTTTCTTCTGTCTTTCTTCTGTCTTTCTGTTCTTCCTGCCTTTCTATCAGCCTTTCCTTCTTTCTTTCCTTCTGTCTTTCTGTCTATCATTCTCCCTGCCTTTCTATCAGCCTTTCCTTCTGTCTTTCCTTCTGTCTTTCTGCCTTTCTTCTTCCTTCCCTCATCCTTCTTCTTTCTCTGTCTATCTGTCTATCATTCTTCCTTTCTTTCCTTTCCTTTCTTTCCTTCTGTCTTTCTGTCTATCATTCTTCCTGCCTTTCTATCATTCCTTTGTCTTTCCTTCTGTCTTTCTGTCTATCATTCTTCCTTCCTTTCTATCAGCCTTTCCTTCTGTCTTTCCTTCTGTCTTTCTGTCTATCATTCTTCCTCTTTCTGTCTTTCTGTCTTTCTCTTTTCTTTTGCCTTTCTATCAGCCTTTCCTTCTGTCTTTCCTTCTGTCTTTCTGTCTATCATTCTTCTTTTCTTTTCTGTCTTTCTGTCTATCATTCTTCCTGCCTTTCTATCAGCCTTTCCTTCTGTCTTTCTGTCTATCATTCTTCCTGCCTTTCTATCAGCCTTTCCTTCTGTCTTTCCTTCTGTCTTTCTGTCTATCATTCTTTCCTTCTTTCTATCAGCCTTTCCTTCTGTCTTTCCATCTTCTTTCTGTCTATCATTCTTCCTGCCTTTCTATCAGCCTTTCCTTCTGTCTTTCCTTCTGTCTTTCTGTCTATCATTCTTCCTTTTCTATCAGCCTTTCCTTCTGTCTTTTCCTTCTGTCTTTCTGTCTATCATTCTTCCTGCCTTTCTATCATCCTTTCCTTCTGTCTTTCCTTCTGTCTTTCTGTCTTCATTCTTCCTGCCTTTCTATCAGCCTTTCCTTCTTCTCTTTCTGTCTATCATTCTTCCTTTTCTATTTTCCTTCTGTCTTTCCTTCTGTCTTTCTGTCTATCATTCTTCCTTCCTTTCTATCAGCCTTTCCTTCTGTCTTTCCTTCTGTCTTTCTGTCTATCATTCTTCCTGCCTTTCTATCAGCCTTTCCTTCTGTCTTTCCTTCTGTCTTTCTGTCTATCATTCTTCCTGCCTTTCTATCAGCCTTTCCTTCTGTCTTTCTGTCTATCATTCTTCCTGCCTTTCTATCAGCCTTTCCTTCTGTCTTTCCTTCTGTCTTTCTGTCTATCATTCTTCCTGCCTTTCTATCAGCCTTTCCTTCTGTCTTTCCTTCTGTCTTTCTGTCTATCATTCTTCCTGCCTTTCTATCAGCCTTTCCTTCTGTCTTTCTGTCTATCATTCTTCCTGCCTTTCTATCAGCCTTTCCTTCTGTCTTTCCTTCTGTCTTTCTGTCTATCATTCTTCCTGCCTTTCTATCAGCCTTTCCTTCTGTCTTTCTGTCTATCATTCTTCCTGCCTTTCTATCAGCCTTTCCTTCTTCTTTCCTTCTGTCTTTCTATCTATTTCTTTTTCTTTCTTCCTTCTGTCTTTCCTTCTGTCTTTCATCATTCTTCTTCAGCCTTTCCTTCTGTCTTTCCTTCTGTCTTTCTGTCTATCATTCTTTGCTTTCTATTCTCCCTGCCTTTCTATCATTTCCTTCTTCTTTCCTTCTTCTTTCTGTCTATCATTCTTCCTTTTCTATCAGCCTTTCCTTCTGTCTTTCCTTCTGTCTTTCTGTCTATCTTCTTCCTGCCTCTGTCTTTTTCCTTCTGTCTCTGTCTTCTTCCTGCCTTTCTATCTTTCCTTCTGTCTTTCCTTCTGTCTTTCTGTCTATCATTCTTCCTGCCTTTCTATCAGCCTTTCCTTCTGTCTTTCCTTCTGTCTTTCTGTCTATCATTCTTCCTGCCTTTCTATCAGCCTTTCCTTCTGTCTTTCCCTTCTTCTTTCTGCCTTTCTATCTTTCCTTCTTCTTCTTTCTTTCTGTCTGTCATTCTTCTCTTTCTTTTTCCTTCTGTCTTTCCTTCTGTCTTTCTGTCTATCATTCTTCCTGCCTTTCTATCAGCCTTTCCTTCTGTCTTTCTGTCTATCATTCTCCCTGCCTTTCTATCAGCCTTTCCTTCTGTCTTTCCTTCTGTCTTTCTCTCTATCATTCTTTCTGTCTTTCCTTCTTTTTCTTCTCTTTCTATCATTCTCCTGCCTTTCTATCATTTCCTTCTGTCTTTCCTTCTGTCTTTCTGTCTATCATTCTTCTTGCCTTTCTATCAGCCTTTCCTTTTCTTTCTTCTGTCTTTCTGTCTATCATTCTTCCTGCCTTTCTATCATTTTCCTTCTGTCTTTCTTCTGTCTTTCTGTCTATCATTCTTCTTGCCTTTCTATCAGCCTTTCCTTCTGTCTTTCCTTCTGTCTTTCTGTCTATCATTCTTCCCCTTTCTATCATTTCCTTCTGTCTTTCCTTCTGTCTCTTTCTTTTCCTTCTGTCTTTCTGTCTTTCTCCTGCCTTTCTTTCTTTCTGTCTTTCCTTCTGTCTTTCTTCTATCATTCTCCTGCCTTTCATTTCCTTCTGTCTTTTCTGTCTATCATTCTTCCTGCCTTTCTATTTCTTTCTTTCTGTCCTTCTTTCTTTGTCTTTCTGTCTATCATTCTTCCTGCCTTTCTATCATTTCCTTCTGTCTTTCCTTCTGTCTATCTATCATTCTTCCTTTTTCTATCAGCCTTTCCTTCTGTCTTTCCTTCTGTCTTTCTGTCTATCATTCTTCCTTTTCTTCAGCCTTTCCTTCTGTCTTTCCTTCTGTCTTTCTGTCTATCATTCTTCCTGCCTTTCTATCATTTCCTTCTGTCTTTCCTTCTGTCTTTCTGTCTATCATTCTTCCTGCCTTTCTATTCTTCTTTCCTTCTGTCTTCTGTCTTTCTTTCTATCTTTTCTTTCTTTCTATTCTTTCTTTCCTTTCTATCTTTCCTTCTGTCTTTCCTTCTGTCTTTCTGTCATTCTTTCCTTTCTATCAGCCTTTCCTTCTGTCTTTCCTTCTGTCTTTCTGTCTATCATCAGCCTTTCCTTCTGTCTTTCCTTCTGTCTTTCTGTCTATCATTCTTCTTCCCTTTTCTATCAGCCTTTCTTTCCTTCTGTCTTTCTCTGTCTATCTTCTTCTTCTGTTTCTATCATTTCTTTCTTTCTTCTGTCTTTCCTTCATTCTTCCTGCCTTTCTATCAGCCTTTCCTTCTGTCTTTCCTTCTGTCTTTCTGTCTATCATTCTTCCTGCCTTTCTATCAGCCTTTCCTTCTGTCTTTCCTTCTGTCTTTCTGTCTATCATTCTTCTTTCTATCTTTCCTTCTGTCTTTCCTTCTGTCTATCATTCTTCCTGCCTTTCTATCAGCCTTTCCTTCTGTCTTTCCTTCTGTCTTTCTGTCTCATTCTTCCTGCCTTTCTATCAGCCTTTCCTTCTGTCTTTCTGTCTATCATTCTCCCTGCCTTTCTATCAGCCTTTCCTTCTGTCTTTCCTTCTGTCTTTCTGTCTATCATTCTTCCTGCCTTTCTATCAGCCTTTCCTTCTGTCTTTCTGTCTATCATTCTCCCTGCCTTTCTATCAGCCTTTCCTTCTGTCTTTCCTTCTGTCTTTCCTTCTGTCTTTCTGTCTATCATTCTTCCTGCCTTTCTATCAGCCTTTCCTTCTGTCTTTCCTTCTGTCTTTCTGTCTATCATTCTTTTCTGCCTTTCTATCATTTCCTTCTTTCTTTCCTTTCTTTCTGTCTATCATTCTCCCTTTTCTATCAGCCTTTCCTTCTGTCTTTCCTTCTGTCTTTCTGTCTATCATTCTTCCTTTCCTTTCTATCAGCCTTTCCTTCTTCTTTCTTTTGTCTTTCTGTCTATCATTCTTCCTGCCTTTCTATCAGCCTTTCCTTCTGTCTTTCCTTCTGTCTTTCTGTCTTCATTCTTCCTGCCTTTCTATCAGCCTTTCTTTCCTTTTCTGTCTATCATTCTTTCTATCAGCTTTCCTTCTGTCTTTCTGTCTTTCATTTCTTCTTCTTTCCTTTCTATCAGCCTTTCCTTCTGTCTTTCCTTCTGTCTTTCTGTCTATCTTTCTTCCTGCCTTTCTATCAGCCTTTCCTTCTGTCTTTCCTTCTGTCTTTCTGTCTATCATTCTTTCCTTTCTATCAGCCTTTCCTTCTGTCTTTTCCTTTCTGTCTTTTTCTATCATTCTTTCTGTCTATCATTCTTCCTGCCTTTCCTTCTGTCTTTCCTTCTGTCTTTCTGTCTATCATTCTCCCTGCCTTTCTATCAGCCTTTCCTTCTGTCTTTCCTTCTGTCTTTCTGTCTATCATTCTTCCTGCCTTTCTATACGCCTATCCTTCTGTCTTTCCTTTGTCTTTCTCTCTATCATTCTTCCTGCCTTTCTATCAGCCTTTCCTTCTGTCTTTCCTTCTGTCTTTCTGTCTATCATTCTTCCTGCCTTTCTATCAGCCTTTCCTTCTGTCTTTCTTCTTCTGTTCTTTCTTTCATTTCTTCCTCTTTCTATCTTCCTGCCTTTCTTTTCCTTCTGTGTCTTTCTTTCTGTCTATCTTCCTGCCTTTCATTCTTTCTTTCTTCTATCAGCCTTTCCTTCTGTCTTTCCTTCTGTCTTTCCTATCATTCTTCCTTTCCTTTCTATCAGCCTTTCCTTCTGTCTTTCCTTCTGTCTTTCTGTCTATCATTCTTCCTCTCAGCCTTTCCTTCTGTCTTTCCTTCTTTTCTGTCTATCATTCTTCCTTTTCTATCAGCCTTTCCTTCTGTCTTTCCTTCTGTCTTTCTGTCTATCATTCTTCCTTTTTTCTATCAGCCTTTCCTTCTGTCTTTCCTTCTGTCTTTCTGTCTATCATTCTTCCTGCCTTTCTATCAGCCTTTCCTTCTGTCTTTCCTTCTTCTTTCTGTCTATCATTCTTCCTGCCTTTCTATCATTTCCTTTCTTTCTGTCTTTCCTTCTGTCTTTCTGTCTATCATTCTTCTGCCTTTCTATCATCTTTCCTTCTGTCTTTCTGTCTATCATTCTTCCTGCCTTTCTATCATTTCCTTCTGTCTTTCCTTCTGTCTTTCTGTCTATCATTCTTCCTGCCTTTCTATCAGCCTTTCCTTCTGTCTTTCCTTCTGTCTTTCTGTCTATCATTCTCCTTTTCTATCAGCCTTTCCTTCTGTCTTTCCTTCTGTCTTCATTCTTCCTGCCTTTCTATCATTTCCTTCTGTCTTTCTGTCTTCTTTCTTCCTCTCATTCTTTCCTTCTCTTTCCTTCATTTTCTTCTGCCTTTCTGTCCTTCTGTCTTTCTGTCTATCATCTTCCTGCCTTTCTTCTGCCTTTCCTTCTCTTTCTGTCTTTCCTTCTGTCTTTCCTTTCTTTCTGTCTCTTCTTCCTGCCTTTCTATCAGCCTTTCCTTTCTGTTCTTTTCTGTCTTCATTCTTCCTGCCTTTCTATCAGCCTTTCCTTCTTTCTTTCCTTCTGTCTTTCTGTCTATCATTCTTCCTTTTCCCTTCTGTCTTTCCTTCTGTCTTTCTGTCTCATTCTTTGCCTTTCTATCATCCTTTCCTTCTGTCTTTCCTTCTTTCTTTCTGTCTATCATTCTCCTTTTCTTTCCTTCTGTCTTTCCTTCTGTCTTTCTGTCTATCATTCTTCCTGCCTTTCTATCAGCCTTTCCTTCTTCTTTCTTCTTCTTTCTGTCTATCATTTTTCCTTTCTTTCTTTCTCTATCATTCTCCCTGCCTTTCTATCATTTCTTCTCTCTTCCTTCTGTCTTTCTGTCTATCATTCTTCTGCCTTTCTATCAGCCTTTCCTTCTTCTTTTCTTTCTTTCTTCATTCCTTCTATCAGCTTTTCCTTCTGTCTTTCCTTCTGTCTTTCTGTCTATCATTCTTCCTGCCTTTCTATCAGCCTTTCCTTCTGTCTTTCCTTCTGTCTTTCTGTCTATCATTCTTCCTGCCTTTCTATCAGCCTTTCCTTCTGTCTTTCCTTCTGTCTTTCTGTCTATCATTCTTCCTGCCTTTCTATCAGCCTTTCCTTCTGTCTTTCTGTCTATCATTCTTCCTGCCTTTCTATCAGCCTTTCCTTCTGTCTTTCTGTCTATCATTCTCCTGCCTTTCTATCAGCCTTTCCTTCTGTCTTTCCTTCTGTCTTTCTGTCTATCATTCTTCCTGCCTTTCTATCAGCCTTTCCTTCTGTCTTTCCTTCTGTCTTTCTGTCTATCATTCTTCCTGCCTTTCTATCAGCCTTTCCTTCTGTCTTTCCTTCTGTCTTTCATCTATCATTCTCCTGCCTTTCTATCAGCCTTTCCTTCTTCTTTCCTTCTGTCTTTCTGTCTATCATTCTCCTGCCTTTCTATCAGCCTTTCCTTTCTTTCCTTCTGTCTTTCTGTCTATCATTCTTCCTGCCTTTCTATCAGCCTTTCCTTCTGTCTTTCCTTCTGTCTTTCTGTCTGTCATTCTCCTTTCAGCCTTTCCTTCTGTCTTTCCTTCTGTCTTTCTGTCTCTCATTCTTCCTGCCTTTCTATCAGCCTTTCCTTCTGTCTTTCTGTCTATCATTCTTCCCTTTTCTTCAGTCTTTCCTTCTCTTTCCTTTCTATCTTTCCTTCTGTCTTTCTCATTCTTCCTGCCTTTCTATCAGCCTTTCCTTCTGTCTTTCCTTCTGTCTTTCTGTCTATCATTCTTCCTTTTCTTTCCTTCCTTTCCTTCTGTCTTTCCTTCTGTCTTTCTTTCTGTCTATCTTTTCCTTTTCTTTCAGCCTTTCCTTCTGTCTTTCCTTCTGTCTTTCTGTCTATCATTCTTCCTGCCTTTCTATTTCTGTCTTTCCTTCTGTCTTTCTGTCTATCATTCTTCCTGCCTTTCTATCAGCCTTCTTTGTCTATCCTTCTGTCTTTCTGTCTATCATTTCTTTCCTTTCTATCAGCCTTTCCTTCTGTCTTTTTGTCTGTCTATCTATTTCTTCCTGCCTTTCTATCAGCCTTTCCTTCTTTTCCTTCTGTCTTTCTGTCTTTCTGTCTATCATTTCTTTCTTTCTTTCTATTCCTGCCTTTCTATCAGCCTTTCCTTCTTTCTTTCCTTCTGTCTTTCTGTCTTCATTCTTTCTTTCTATCAGCCTTTCCTTCTGTCTTTCCTTCTGTCTTTCTGTCTATCATTCTTCCTGCCTTTCTATCAGCCTTTCCTTCTGTCTTTCCTTCTGTCTTTCTGTCTATCATTCTTCCTGCCTTTCTATCATTTCCTTCTGTCTTTCCTTCTTCTTTCTTCTCAGCCTTTCCTTCTGTCTTTCCTTCTGTCTTTCTGTCTATCATTCTCTTTTCTATCTTTTTCCTTCTATCTTTTCCTTCTGTCTTTCTGTCTATCATTCTTCCTCCTTTCTATCATTTTCCTTCTGTCTTTTTCTGTCTTTCTCTATTCTTCCTGCCTTTCTATCAGCATTTCTTTCTTTCTTCTGTCTTTCTATCATTTCTTTCTATCTTTCCTTCTCTTTCCTTCTGTCTTTCTGTCTATCATTCTTTCCTTTCTATCAGTCTTTCCTTTCTTTCTTTCTTTCTATCATTCTTCCTGCCTTTCTATCATTTCCTTTGTCTTTTCTGTCTTTCATTCTCTTTTCCTGCCTTTCTATCTTTCTTCTGTCTTTCCTTCTCCTTTCTTTCTGTCTATCATTCTTTCCTTTCTTTCAGCCTTTCCTTCTGTCTTTCCTTCTGTCTTTCTGTCTATCATTCTCCTGCCTTTCTATTTTCTTCTGTCTTTCCTTCTGTCTTTCTGTCTATCCCTTCTTTCCTCAGCCTTTCCTTCTGTCTTTCCTTCTGTCTTTCTGTCTATCATTCTTCCTGCCTTTCTATCATTTCCTTGTCTTTCCTTCTGTCTATCTATCATTCTTCCTGCCTTTCATATCAGCCTTTCCTTCTGTCTTTCATTTCTTCTTTTCTTTGCCTTTCTATCAGCCTTTCCTTCTGTCTTTCCTTTCTGTCTTTCTGTCTATCATTCTTTCCTTTCTATCAGCTTTCCTTCTCTTCTGTCTTTCATTTCTATCATTCTTTCCTTCTTTCTTTCCTTCTGTCTTTCATTCCTTTTTCTATCAGCCTTTCCTTCTGTCTTTCCCATCTGTCTTTCTGTCTATCATTCTTCCTGCCTTTCTATCATTTTTCTTTCTTTCTGTCTGTCTTTCTGTCTTTTCTTTCTGTCTATCATCATTTCTTTCTTTCTATCATTTCTTCTGTCTTTCCTTCTGTCTTTCTGTCTATCATTCTTCCTGCCTTTCTATTTTCCTTCTGTCTTTCCTTCTGTCTTTCTTTCTATCATTCTTCCCTGCATCAGCCTTTCCTTCTGTCTTTCTGTCTATTCTTCCTATTTCTCTTCTGTCTTTCCTTCTGTCTTTCTGTCTATCATTCTTCCTTCTTTCTATCAGCCTTTCCTTCTGTCTTTCTTTGTCTTTCTGTCTATCATTCTTCCCTGCCTTTCTATCATTTCCTTTCTTTCTTTCTTTCATTCTTCCTTTCTTTCTATCATTCTTTCCTTCTTCTGTCTTTCCTTCTCATTCTTCTTTTCTTCCTTTTTCTATCCTTCTGTCTTTCCTTCTTTCTTTCTGTCTATCATTCTCCTGCCTTTCTTTTCCTTCTGTCTTTCCTTCTGTCTTTCTGTCTTTCTTTCTTTCATGTCTTTCCTTCTGTCTTTCCTTCTGTCTTTTCTTTTCTTCTGTCTTTCTATCACCATTCTGTCTTTCCTTCTTCTTTCTGTCTATCATTCTTTCTTTCTGTCTATCATTCTTTTCCTTTCTTTCTATCATATTCTTCTGTCTTTCTGTCTATCATTCTTCCTGCCTTTCTATCATTTCCTTCTCTTTCTTCTGTCTTTCTGTCTATCATTTCTTTCTTTTCTTCTTTCTATCATTCCTTTCCTTCTGTCTTTTCTTTCTGTCTTCTGTCTATCATTTCCCTGCCTTTCTTTCTGTCTTTCTGTCTTTCATTCTTTCTTTCTTTCTATCTTTTTCTGTTTCTATCTATTCATTTCTTTTCTTTCTTTCTTTCTTCCTGCTTTCTGTCTTCATTTCTTTTTCCTTCTCTTTCATCATTTTTTCTTTCTTTCTATCATTTTCCTTCTGTCTTTTTCTTTTTCTGTCTATCATTCTTCTTTCTTTCTGTCTTTCATTTCTTTCCTTCTGTCTTTCTGTCATTCTCCCATTTTCTTTCTGTCTTCTGTCTTTCCTTCTGTCTTTCTGTCATTTCTTTCCTTTCTGTTTCCTTCTCTTTTTTCTTTCTTTATCTTTTTCCTTCTCTATCTATCTTTCTTCTATCTTCTCTGTCTTTCTTTCTGTCTTTCTTCTGTCTTTCTGTCTATCATTCTCCTTTCCTTTCTATCATTTCCTTCTGTTTTCTTTCTGTCTTTCTGTCTATCTTCTTCCCTTTCTTTCTTCTTTCTGTCTATCATTTCTTTTCTTTTCTTCTTTCCTTCTGTCTATCATTCTTCCTGCCTTTCTATCAGCCTTTCCTTCTTCTTTCTGTCTATCATTTCTTTCTTTTCTTTCTATCTACCATATTCTTTCTTCTTTTCTCTGTTTCTATCATTTCTTTCTTTCTATCCCATATTTCTTTCTTTCTGTCTTTCATTTTCTATCTTTTTCTTTTTTCCTTCTGTCTTTCTTCTTTCTTTCTGTCATTCTTTTTTTCTATTCTATTCCTTTTTTCTTTCTTTCTGTCTATCATTCTTCCTGCCTTTCATCAGCCTTTCCTTCTTTCTTTCTTTCTGTCTATCATTTCTTTCTTTCTTTCTATCTTTCCATATTCTTTCTTTCATCATTCTTCCTGCCTTTCTATCATTTCTTTCTTTCTTCTGTCTTTCTTTCTTTCTATCAGCCTTTCCTTCTGTCTATCATTTTCTTTCTTCTTTCTTTCTTATTTCTATCTGTCTACCATTCCTTCTTTCTGTCTATCATTCTTCCTGCCTTTCTATCAGCCTTTCATTTGTCTTTTCTTTGTTTTTCTGTCTATCATTCTTCCTGCCTCTACCATATTCTTTCTTTCTGTCTATCATTTCTTTCTTTCTTTCTATCTACCATATTCTTTCTTTCTGTCTATCATTTCTTTCTTTCTATCTATCTACCATTCTGTTCTTTCTTTCTGTCTATCATTTCCTTTCTTTCTTTCTATCTACCATATTCTTTCTTTCTGTCTATCATTTCTTTCTTTCTTTCTTTCTTTCTGTCTACTATCATTCTTTCTTTCTGTCTATCATTTCTTTCTTTTTCTTTCTTTCTTCCTCTACCATATTCTTTCTTTCTGTCTATCATTTCTTTCTTTCTTTCTTTCTATCTTTCCTGTCTTTATTCTTTCTTTCTGTCTATCATTTCTTTCTTTCTATCTATCTTTTCATTCTCTTTCCTTCTGTCTTTCTGTCTATCATTCTCCCTGCCTTTCTATCAGCCTTTTCCTTCTGTCTTTCCTTCTTTCTTTCTGTCTATTTCTTTCTTTCTTTCTATCATTTTCTTTCTTTCTGTCTATCTGTCTATTTCTCCCTTCTTTCTATCTATTTCCTTCTGTCTTTCCTTCCTTTCTTTCTTTCTGTTTCTATCATTTCTTTCTTTCTTTCTATCTACCATATTCTTTCTTTCTGTCTATCATTTCTTTTCTTTCTTTCTTTCTTTCTATCCTATTGTCTTTCCATTTCTATCTATCTTTCTTTCTGTCTATCATTTCCTTTCTTTCTTCTCTATTCTACCATATTCTTTCTTTCTGTCTATCATTTCTTTCTTTCTTTCTATCTACCATATTCTTTCTTTCTGTCTTTCATTTCTTTCTTTCTTTCTATCTTTCCATATTCTTTCTTTCTGTCTATCATTTCTTTCTTTCTTTCTTTCTGTCTATCATTCTCCCTTCTTTCCTTCTTTCTTTCTGTCTGTCTTTCTTTCTTCTACCATTTCTTCTTTCTTTCTGTCTTTCATTTATCTTCTTTCTTTCTATCTACCATTTTCTTTCTTTCTGTCTATCATTTCTTTCTTTCTTTCTATCTTTCTGTCATATTCTTTCTTTCTGTCTATCATTTCTTTCCTTCTTTCTTTCTATCTACCATATTCTTTCTTTCTGTCTATCATTTCTTTCTTTCTTTCTATCTATCATATTCTTTCTTTCTATCTATCATTTCTTTCTTTCTTTCTATCTCTGTCTATCATTTCTTTTTTCTTTCTATCATTTCTTTCTTTCTGTCTATCATTTCTTCTTTTTCTGTCTTTCTTTCTTTCTACCTATATTCTTTCTTTCTGTCTATCATTTCTTTTTCTTTCTTTCTGTCTACCATATTCTTTCTATCTTTCCTTCTGTCTTTCCTTCTTTCTTCTATCTTTCTGTCTATTATTTTTTCTTTCTTTTCTTTCTTTCTTTCTACCATATTCTTTCTTTCTGTCTATCATTTCTTTCTTTCTTTCTATCTTTCCATCTTCTTTCTTTCTGTCTATCATTTCTTTCTTTCTTTCTATCTACCATATTCTTTCTTTCTGTCTATCATTTCTTTCTTTCTTTCTATCTACCATATTCTTTCTTTCTGTCTATCATTTCTTTCTTTCTTTCTATCTACCATATTCTTTCTTTCTGTCTATCATTTCTTTCTTTCTATCTACCATATTCTTTCTTTCTGTCTATCATTTCTTTCTTTCTATCTATCTTTCTTTCTTTCTATCTATCATATTTCTTTCTTTCTTTCTATCTCTTTCCTTTCTATCTATTTCTTTCTTTCTGTCTATCATTTTCTTTCTTTCTATCTATCTACCATATTCTTTCTTTCTGTCTATCATTTCTTTCTTTCTTTCTACCTATCATATTCTTTCTTTTCTGTCTATCATTTCTTTCTTTCTTTCTATTTTCTTTCTTTCTGTCTATCATTTCTTTCTTTCTTTCTATCTACCATATTCTTTCTTTCTGTCTATCATTTCTTTTTCTTTCTATCTATCTATATTCTTTCTTTCTTTCTATCTATTCTTTCTTTCTTCTTTCTATCTTTCCTTCTATCTTTAGTATATTTATTTATTTTTTTTTTTTCTTTCTTTCTCTATTCTTTCTATTTTCTTCATTCTTTCTATCTTTCTACCTATTTTCTTTTTCTCATTTCCTCTATTATATTCATTTTCTATCTCTCTTTATTTTCTTTTTTTTCTTTCTTTCTTTCTTCTTTCTTTATTTATTTTTTCTATTTATTCTATCTTTTTTTATTCTTTTTTCTTTCTTTCTGCCTTTCTTTCAATCTATTATCTTTATTTATTTATTTATTTATTTATTTCTCCTCTATCTTTTTATCATATTCTTCTTTCTTTCTGTCTTTCTTTTTATCTATCTATCTATCTATCTATCAATCATATTCTTGCGTCTTTCTTTCTTTCTTTCTCCTCTATCTGTTTATCATATTCTTCTTTCTTTCTGTCTTTCTTGCTTTCTATCTATCTATCTATCTATCTATCTATCTATCTATCTATCTATCTATCTATCTATCATATTCTTGCGTCTTTCTTTCTGTCTTTCTGTCTTTCTTTCTTTCTTTCTTTCTTTCTTTCTCCTCTATCTGTTTATCATATTCTTCTTTCTTTCTGTCTTTCTTGCTTTCTTTTTATCTATCTATCTATCTATCTATCTATCTATCTATCTATCTATCTATCATATTCTTGCGTCTTTCTTTCTGTCTTTCTGTCTTTCTTTCTTTCTCCTCTATCTGTTTATCATATTCTTCTTTCTTTCTGTCTTTCTTGCTTTCTTTTTATCTATCTATCTATCTATCTATCTATCTATCTATCTATCTATCTATCTATCTATCTATCATATTCTTGCGTCTTTCTTTCTGTCTTTCTTTCTTTCTTCTCTATCTGTTTATCATATTCTTCTTTCTTTCTGTCTTTCTTCCTTTCTTTTTATCTATCTATCTATCTATCTATCTATCTATCATATCCTTGCGTCTTTCTTTCTTTCTTTCTTTCTTTCTTTCTTTCTTTCTTTCTATCCTGTTCAAATCTCAATGTAACGCCGCTATTTACCTTCTTCTGTCAATTACTTCTCGCTTGCATCCTTTTTTCGTTTGGGATGGGGCAAAGTTAAATGTTTGTGTATTCAACTGTCATCCCCGACGCACAAAACCTCCCCGATCCGTCACACCAACATCACCACCACCGCCACCACAAGCAGCTAATCTTCCAACCCCCATCCCACCATACTTTTTCTCCAGAACTTCCCATCCCCATCCCAGCCATCAACCATCTTTTGCCAACAGTGAACTTGCGAAAATCTGACCGTGAGAAAGTTAGGGGCTCATCGCAAAATAAAACGAACCAAAGAATGGGTGTGGTGGGAGGACAGTTTCAGTTGGGGTCGAGGGAGATTGTGTAACACAGAAACGAAAAGACAGATGAAGATATAAGAGACGGGGGGGGGGAGAAAGTGGGGAAATGTACCCCCCTTAAATCTTTGTTTACTGAAACATGGCAAAATAAAAAAACAGTCGGTTTTGGGGTAGTAAAGTTTGAAACAGAAACGAAAAACGTTAATTTCACAGCTTTCGAGTGCTGCAATACTGACCGAATTAAAATTGAGCATTCTACAAGTAGGAAAAACCTTATCGGAATGGAAATTGTATATTTATTTATTTTTTTTAATCATTTCTATTTTGAAATCGACAAATGGTAATGGTAATATTAGCCGTTTCCTTATAAGGAAACAGTCGGTGTTCACTGACCGAGCAGCCAGTGTTACTGTCGGTTGAATGACAGAACTTTATTATATAAACATATATTTCTGTAAACAATGACTCACACTTGTAGACAGACAGGAACATAGATAGATAATAGCTGGCCATACCCGTCTATTAGGGCGACTAGCCAATTCCTATTGCAGACGCTCGCTCAGGCACATTTTATCTGTTCGATACCCACAGAGCCCACCTGTGGTTTATACTGCAACAATGTCGATCAGATCTTAATTGCAGTTTCTAAGAGAGAGTATGTTATCTAGCGTGATCAACAATCTGAACAAGGCCAGCACACTCAAAGACTCAGTCACGATGACTTGTGACTTCGTGCTAGCACAGTTATCGACAGCTCCCAAGTGTTACGTCTACCCATTTTCACTTCCAAGGCTTGGGTCAACCAAGACAGAGTAATAATATAATAAAAAAGGCTCAAACACTAATATTCCATGGTTATAATTTATCACATTGGAATCGTAATCACGATCAATTCATCAGACCTACAAATACTAAATGGCTTTTTTGGTTTGGAGGTCTGATGAATGAATCGTGATTATTCAATATAATAACCATGGAATAATATTTAATATATATTTAACTATATATATATATATATATATATATATATATATATATATATATATATATATGTGCAAATATATAGAAAAATAGGCAAAGAACCAGTTGGGTTAATAATCCGAAGTTCTTTAGTATTTTTTCGTTTTATTTAAAAAAATCAGTGCTCGATGCACAAGTAAAGCCTATATTATAATTATTTCTTTAAAAAAAATATGATTCCATCGCTACATAGGAATTCTCATGTTTCCAAAATTCGCTTGAGGATGAAACAGAACGAGGCACTTCAATTTAATTTTTAGTTTTTAGCTTCTGTTTTTGAAACATGGCAATCCCTATGTATCGATGAATCATATTCTTCTTTTAAATTATTATATATATATATATATATATATATATATATATATATATATATGTATGAACTGTTCTGTCCGGCCTGGTTAGAACATACATTCCTCCTTTTTTGTAAAAGAAATCATCATGCTCTGTCTATGGTACGCTCAACATCTTTCTGTAAAACCATGTTTTGCCGCAAATCTCATCTTCATCGGCATTGTGTTTCTTCATACTTTCTGAGTTTAACCAATTTTCCTGCTTCTTGATACTTTGCTTAGCTTTTGGAAGGCTTTTTTCTCTCTCCCAATAAGTTGTCGGATCTAGGTGTCACATTCTTGTACTTTTCCTCTCGTTGGCGACCAGATAGAGGATGCGATGGAGGACAAAATGTCGTCTAAATGACGCAAAAATGAAAATAACACCAACATCTCATCTTAACAGATATATTTACCAAAATCGCACAAAAATAGCCTGAACTACTAAAGAGTAGATTTATTCAATAAAATCACCATTGACTTCATCCACAGCCTCTAGACGACTTCAGAATTTCCTGCAACTCTTCCGGACGGTCACCTTGTTTGGTCGGTGAATGCTACCATAATTCTTGCTTTCATTACATATTTGGTGTTACAAGGAGTTTTTTTTTTGGTCTCTTGCTCAACTGCACCCTACACATAATAATCAAGGGGGTTGCAGTCTTCAGAAATGGGTGGCCAGATGTAAGGGGTGATGTGGTCGCAGAAAATTTCCTGATAGCCATGACTGGTTTCTCCTGCGTGTATGGCATGATATAGGATATTCCAGCTGCCACCCTCTTGACCCGCGGTAGTATGACTCCCTCAAGGCACTTAATATAGACTTCCGTATTGAGCCTCACCAACAAATTCGGGAGTTTTTTTCTTATCGGAACGATCAGAGTGAGTTTTCCGAGCTGCCGTTGTTAGACATTTCGACGGTCGTCTTCGAGTATAGAATCCAGAGGTTAGCAGTGAATATTTCGGAGCAAAGTAGGAAAGCGTAGTTCTTCCTTCTGTCATCTTAGCCGGACATGTTGGCACTGGTCATTCGGGTAGGGTAAACCAAAAATGGCCGCCTTTATACAATGACGGATACAATGTTCTGCGGCTTCTGATTGGTTAATCTTCTATTGGTAGACTATAAAGGGAATTAAGTCGTTTTGACTAACTCACTAGTTACACCTATATATATATACAAAAAAAACTGTAACAGCCGTACCGTCGTAATCACCATTAGACTCATCCAACTCTTTCCGAATCCTCAGCAATATCCTCCGATTGACGCCCAAACACTCTGAAATGTTTGGATTAGAGTTTCCGCATTGAATGCCAAGCTGTACAGCATGCCGTTTCCAAATTTCTAGCGGACTGAATTACCTCATGGTGCTCTTTTTCTCACAGACGCTGCCCAACTGGCTCTAACTACTGGACTGCGCAGTCGACAAATTCAAAAAGAAACAACGCGCATACGCGAAATTAAAAATCGAAAACGGCGACAATTTATCCATCGCACTCTCTTGTCATACCTTGCTTCTTTTTCTTTTTTTCAGCAGTGAGATTTTCAATGCATTACTAATGTTTTCTTATCAAAATAGAGTGAAGTGGAGGAAGAAATTTATCGTCATGAAAATTTATGAAAAGAGTTACTCACATAATAGAATGTAAACGCTTTGCTAATACACTGGAAATAATAAAAAAAAGTATTGTCTATGGTCACGAATTCAAGAAAGCATCAGTCCTCAACTTGATATCTATGCTGAAGACACATTCTAATCAGTTCGATATGGTCAAATTGGCAGCTAATCTCAAGAATGACACACAGTCTGTTGCTGGCCGCAGCAAGGAATTTTAACGCCTCCAAAACAAAACTTATCAACTGAACGACATCTTCCTCCCTTCCATCAGCATGTCTGCTGCTAATTTCCAGCGGAAAGACTCGTTACACCTTCCCGGGCTAACTTTTTCAACTGGCACGAAGTCGAAAGACTGTATTGAATCCATTGCTAGGACTGCTGCTACGAAAGTTGGTTCACTGTGTCATGCGAGACAATTTTTCTCTCCAGAATCTATCTTTCATATCAATAAGCCTACCATTCGTCCATGCTTAGAATATTGCTACCACATATGACCTGATATCCCTGCTATTTACCTAACCACAGACAATTCCTTCTTAATTTTCAGTGTGTTCCTACAGTAAAATCATTAGCAATGTATTTACAGTACACAAATCGTCTTATTCTTGCATTAATTCCTGGCCATTAACAATCCCATTCTACCTGATTTCCAGTGCAATT